TTGAAGGAAATCAAGTGGGTAGTTCTGGAGGACCCATTTCCAATGATCTAGGTATTGATATCTCATGTTTATGCATAAAAATTTCTGAATCATGAAATGTTTTCAATGTACTCTGTGACGTCATTTTATATTCTGGAGGTGATACTGGTTTAAGAAATGCTGATAGCTCAAGTATTCCACTCAGTCTCTGTTCCTGAGAAATCCAATTGGATTTCAAACAGTCATTCTTTTATTTTGATATTATTTTGAATTTTCTATTAGTGGGAAGGCCTGGGTGTTTTGATTTTGGGCTTGAGGGAAAGATATTTGGAACTGATTTTGGTTTTGGAGATTCTGGTTCAAATTGCTGTGGTGACATTGGACTTAGTGAAAATGGGGTAAAATATAATGATGAATATAGTTCCATGTTTTAGGTGTTGATGTTTAATTTCTGTGCATAAACAATATTTGAATCATAAAATTTATTGGAAAATGTTCTGACAACAATCATTTTACATTCTGCAGGTGGCATCAGTGCAAGAATTAGAGATAGTCTTTTTGATGGCATATCAGAAAATTTGAGATATGGTTTTGAGAAGTTTGGTCAAAAGGGATTTGGAAGCAGAGGATCTGACTGGAGTAAGAGCAGCAGGGATTCTGATGTCAGTGGCTCAGGTAGTCTAATCTTGGACTCTGCTCAGGTGAAATCTAAATTGATTTCAGCCTTTCATCTATTATTTTATAACATTTTTATTTCTCTGTTAGTGGAAAAGTCCTCATCCTCTGATTTGAAACATGGAGAAAGGAAACGTGAAGCTAAATTTGATTTTGGAGATTCTGGTTCAAATCGATTTGATGACATTGGCCTTAGTGAAAATGTAATAAAAGGTACTAGAGAATCTAATTTTAGTGGTATGAATGTTGACAGTTAATTTTTTGCTTAAAAACTTCTCAATTATAAAATTTATAATTAATGAATTTAATAATTTATAATTATTAAATATAACCTGTTGACAAACTTTTAATATTCTGGTAGAAGTACCAGTGCAAGAAGTGGTGGTGAGCATGCTGGTGAAAAGTTTGAATATTCAGGATTTGGTATGTGGGTATTTGGTAAAAAGGAATTTGGAGGCAGGGGATTGACAGAATGAGCAGCACCATGTGTGTTTTGTCTGGATCCTTGAATCTCAGGTCCAATGCCCACAACTTGGGCATTCTCCTAACCTGGACTCTTGGGGAAACTGAAATAGGTTTCAATTTTTTGATCATTTTTAATTTTTTTTTCGTTTTGGAGATTCTGGTTCAAATCCAATGGCCATGGTGGTACAGACTTGGATGGAAATAGATTAGGAGGTACTGGAGGCTATAGTTCCAGGGCTCTAGGTATTTATGGTTAATTTCTGTGCAGAGAAAAATTCTGAATCATGGTATGCATAAAAAATAATTCTCATGACCATCATTTTGTATTCAGCAGGTGACTCAAATGCAAGAAATGGGGATGAATATTCTAGTGGTATCTCTGAAGACTCAGGATTCAATTTGGGGTCATCTGATCAGCAGGGATTTGGAATCAGTGGAATTGGTAGGAATGGAGAGAGTGGCAGTGGAATCGTGGGGGCTGGATACTTGAGTCCTGGATCTGATGTCAGTGGCACAGGTATCTTCACCTGGACTCTGTTCCCAAGAAATACAAATTAGTTTCTTCCTTCTTCATTTCTTTTAATCACACTTTTAATCAATTAATTGATTTTCCATTAGGAGAAAATACTCGGTCTTCTGGTTCTGGAAGTGGTGAAGGAAGGAAGGGTGCAGCTGGACTTGGTGTTGGTACTTCTGGACCAAATGAATTTGGTGAAACTGGCGTTAGTGGCACAGGTACCTGTGATACTGGAAAGGATGTTATTGGGTCTGGTTCCCATGGCCGAGAATTGGGATTTATGTCTGGCGTTTAGAGAGTCAGGATTCTAACATATGTTATAAAATAACAATGAAAATCATAAACATCAGTAATGATATAAAAAGCAAGACAAAATCCTGAAATGATAAACTGTATTTAGACGTGATCAGGAAAAAAAATCATTTAATATTTTTTGTAGAATGTGGAATGAATTTTGTGGCTGTGATTATATTTATGTGGAGTTGTTTTTGTTGCCTTTATGCAAAATTGATTTGGAGTCACATATGTGAAGAGGTGATTTGTTGGGTTTGATCTTTGTGCTCTGGATCTGGACTTTAAATTATTTTGCAAGTTTATTTCTGATAAGAGTAAACAAATTCCATCCTTTTTGAACATCTCAAAATTTAATATTTCTTCTTAATGGAAGCATTAGAGTGAATAGTCTAAGAAGGTAGTATTTATTGTGATATGGGGACTATTTTGATTCTTCTATTGGAAAGTCTTGGGTGCCACTAGACTAAGTGATCTCAGAACTGTGGGCAGTAGATTCACTTCTAATGACTTAAGTGATCTGAAAGATATTCAGGATTCATACTTAGAAATCAACTTTGGGATTGATATGTTTTTAAAAGGTAAAATCTAGTTAGCAAGAGATACACTTAGTGTAGTAATGGCTGACCTCAGTCAGGATTGACTATCAATGAATCTGTTCAGAAAAGGCTTGGTAATAAAGAAATAATAATTCACTTTTGGAATGTTCTTAATCTTTGGACATCAGTTTTGAGGTCAACACTTCAGTGGAACCGAGAAATTTGAGATCACTGATTATTTATTGCCATTGACCTTGTTTAAAACCAGTTAGTAAAATGGTTTAAGAGACACTGAATTTTTAACCCCTAGATCTGCTGCCATTAGCTCAGGTATTCCAGTTTAGGATGTGTTCCTGAAAAATGTATTAAGAAGTAGTTGTCTCTCCTCTTTCTATTGTGGAGTGATTACCAATCTGAGACTTCTCTGCTGTTTGGATACCAACTTTTGACTGCTTTCATGTTTTTCAAATGAGACAGACTTGTTTTAATTAGTGTTCTTTCCGGTAGTGTATCTAATAGCAGTAAATCTAGTGGCTTTGAAGTGGCAAGTTCTGGATCTGTTGGCATTATTGTCTTAACATTAGACATGTTGAGATGAACTCTCAGTTCAACTAGATCAGTTGTTTTCAGACTTCCAGTTTCTGTGAGTGCAGAACCCTTTGTTCAGTTGACATCTTAAAATGGTAGCTAGATTTTCCAAATGTAAAGCAATTCAAAGTGGGAGTGTGACTGAAACTGGGATAGGAGACCCTGGACCCCGTTTATGCAAACCTTTCTCTTTTCCTAAACACATTTTAAGGCAATTGATCTGGAGTAAGTTAATTTGATCATTTCATTTGGTGGCAAGGCATTTAATTTTGTTACTCCTACAGGTTGTTAAGTTGATTATATACATATATATATAATGCATATATATATGTATATATATGCATTAAATATGCATATATATGTATATATATGCATTATATGTATATATGTATATATATGCATTATATATATATATATATATATATATATATATATATATATATATATGCTTTTAACTTTCACATTGTTCTAAATCTGCTAGCATTAGTATTGCTGAACTTGGATCCATGGTTTATCCATCAGATTTTAAAAACATTTTTTCTCATATTTTACCAAGTAGTATGTATATACAGTTATTTCATATTAAAATAGGTGTCTGGCCAACCCGACCCTGAAAGTACCCTCTGCACCACTCACTACACCAGGTAGTTTGACTTATGACTTCCAGTGCCCAACAATGCATATATGCTCGATGTATGTGTGTATGTATCTGTGTGTTTATACATATATACATAATTCTGAAATTTAAGTGTTCTGTGGATTATTGATTTACTAGGACATGATATTATTATGTGTTTTCCATGTTGAAGTGAGCTTCTAAATGCTTCTCTTTGAGTACTAAAGTTTAGATCACCAACTGCATATTTTAAATAATTTCATTAATAAGGTAGATTAAATTATACTTTAAGGGAACCTAAATAAAGCATAATACAACTTCTCCTTTGTCATTTTAGATACACTATTTTTTTTTTTAAATTTTTTCAGCACTTTTTTGTTATTTTGGGACAGAGAATAAAGGAACGCCAGGGAGGGGCAGAGAGGGAGACACAAGTCGGGAAGCAGGCTCCAGGCTCCGAACCTGTACATATTGAAACCTGACGGCGGGGCCTCAGAACTCACAGGACCATGAGATGTGTGACCTGGCGTTGACAGGCAACAACCGAGCTATTGCCACCAGAGCCCTAGATACACTATTTTTAAATGGCTTTAAAAATAATCTATAAAGATATTATGTTATATTATATTACCTAAGAAAAGACAACTGTAGTAAAGGCAAGTGGCCTCAAGATACACAATAAATAACACGTGAAAAATATTTTATAGTTCTATCAAAATATTTACTTGTGTTGTTGTTGTTGCTTTTCTATTCTGCTTGCTTAACTGCTCTAAGATTTCATATAAATTTACTTGGTTACATACAAGGGTCAATGCATTAAAAATAATCAGGGGAAGGTTTCAAGGTATACGAATTTCCCCTTTGATCAGTAGAATGAAGTTCTCTTCATATATAGATAATTGAATTATTAGTATTACACAGTAGACTGATTTAGTAAAATCTACCTTGGGCATGTTTAGCTAGTGACTCCCAATGAAAGTATGCTAGCAATGTTCTGTTTATGAAGTTGAAAATATAGTTCTGTAAGGGATACAGCATATGTTAGTAATTGTACATGACTCAAAATGAATAAGCTCATAATGATTTCTGAAAATACTATGGCTAATTGTACCAAAAATATGGTACAATTCAGAGATCATCATGTACATGACAGTGGCAAATCACAGATCTCACAAAATCAAATTATATGATCAGGATAAAGAAACCCACTGATGGCCTTCAATATCAGCTTCTAAATTCCTACGTAGAAACCCAAATATTCTGTATATTTAGAATCAATGTATGTTTTTAAGTTTAAATAATCTATGCATTATGTTAAATAGAAAAAGGATCCCATATTCCAGAAGCAACTCCGAAATACTCAGAAACAAATACAATTATTGGTAAGTAAAAAGGACTTTGATTTCTACCCATATTTTTATGTCCAAGCCAGCCAGTACCTAACCAATATTTTGAAACTAGTTGTAAACATTTGCCCGTTACCTATCCATTTTATCATTTTATGTTTGAATGACATCACATTCATACTATTTTCCTCAAAGATACATATACACACATATATACATAACACATATACATGAACGTATATAACATACATATGTATGTACATAGAGAAACAATATTCTTTATACTTAATTGATATATGGTAACCAACTCGTATAACATTAGAAAGACTATTTCTACAAAAAGCAAAATAAACAGGCAAACAGACCACAACTCCGATCATATATATCTCCCCACAAGTAGAGACAATTTCCCTTTCCCATAGGAAACAAGATGTTTTTATTCATGTTTTGTTCGAGACAGAACAGCAACCTTTGTGTATTCCCAAGGATTCAGGCACTACTTTTAGTGTGTTTTTGCTCTGTGTGAGAAAGAAAAGTTCTTATTTAAGGTGGTGGCTGGGGAGAGCAGAAACTTTCAGTAATGTTTTATCTTGGTACACAAACACTTAAAAAAAACAAAGAACTATGAATATTCTACTCTAAATATTTTGTAGGCGAAGCTTCTACTTGGGGCAAAGGAGCATATAAAGCTTTCAATGGCCGCATCTTTTCCTTTGACTCGTCATGCGCATACACCTTCTGCCGTCATTGCGTGGAATCCGGAGAAGATTTCAATATTGAGATCAAAAGAAACAATAATAGTGATATTGAAAAAATAATAGTTAAAATCGACACTAATGACGTCTCTATTTTTGGTGATATCATCCTAGTTAATGAAGAAAGGTAAATGCCACAGTGTTATGGAAAAATACTATAGAATGACTTAAACTATCCTGAGCAAAAAGAGGGGTGCCTGGGTGGCTCAGGTGGCTAGGCATCCAACTTCAGCTCAGGTCATGATCTCCTGGTTCCTGGGTTCAAGCCCCGCATCAGACTCTGTGCTGACAGCTCAGAGCCTGGAGCCTGCTTCCGATTCTATGTCTCACTCTCTCTCTGCTCCCTGCTCATGCTCGGTCTCTCTAACTCTCTCAAAAGTAAATGAACATTAAAAAGATTTACAGTCACCTGAGCAAAAAAGAGAAAAGGTTGACTAGGAAAAGACGATATTCTTTTCCTATTTTGGTGCTCATATTCATTACATTAAATTCTTGGACAGGAGTCTATATTTATTCCTATATTTATTCCTATAACAATGTATTTATTCCTATATTTATTCCTATAACAATTTATTCCTATAACTATATTTATTCCTATAACATGGTGGGGACAAACAACTAGTTTTGTTGTTTGACTATTTTGAGTACTTAGATTTGGGACAACATGCATATTCAACACATCTGTTAATAGAGTATTTCAATTTTCATTTGTATGTTTGTTGTTAAAAATATGAGATTTTTAAATAGATTAAATTTAGGTCATTGTTTTTAGAAGTAGCAATTCATATTTGGAAGGGTGTAATATTTGAATAGTTTTCAGGATAAGAAGTTGAGACATGATATTCTACTTGTGAACATTTCAAATTATTTGATCCTTTATTCCTTACACTGCACCAGTTTCTTCTTTTTAATTTCTCCAAAGCCCCAAAGATTTATTCATTGTTCTTTAAAAGTCTTTCAAAAATTGGAAAAACAAAGCCATTGTGTCTCTTCTGAAATGGTAGGAAAAACAAAGCTGCAATATTTACTAGCCAGTATTATATTTGTGATACTAAATATAGAACATGAATTATTAGAAAAACATATACTATTCTTACCCTTATGTGTACTTGTGCTTTAAACTTTTTCAGTGTACAGATACCATATAACAATAAATTGATACACATTAAAAAATATGGAGAACATAATGTCCTGAATAGCCGCAGAGGAATCATGTCTTTAATGTGGGACAAAAATAACAAACTCTCAGTAAGTCTGTCTCTGATTTTCTTACATTCTTGAGCCTTTTTTTCTTTGCTTTCAGTCATGAAAAGAATACATTATAAGGAAAATAAGAGCTAACGTTTACTGAGAAATCTCTATATATTATTCACGTGCTAAGCATTATCTTATTTAATATTTAAAATACATTGAAGTACATACTCTTATTAATCTTATTTTATAGGTGATAGAACTCAGGAAATTCAGGCTAATAAAAGTTAAATTATCTACCCAAAGACACATAGTTAGTAAGAGATGGAGTCAGGAAATTTCCAACTTCTATATCCTGGTCATTTAAAAAACGTCCTATAGTACTTCCTAAGTAACCAGCTTAGATAGAATTGAAAATGAATGGACACTGTCCTTTGGTTTGGGTAAATTACATTTTGAGGTATTTTCAATATTTTATAAACATGTACATGTAATTTTTTTTAAAAGCTTACTCTTCACAAGAAATATCCAACTTGTGGTCTCTGTGGTAACTTCAACAGCACTCCAGGTAAGATTTCAATGCATTAGGTCTAAGAAAATTGCTTCCTGAAAGAAAATTAGAAAAAAATTGCTCACATTTGGATAAATCCAACAGAAATTTGCATTTGTCTAAAGAATAAGAAATCATTAAAATAAAACAAAATTTATGTTGTCAACTTAGCTATATTTAGCTTGAAAATAATGTATATGTACATAATGAATCTCTTGAACTAAGCATTGTTTTCATTTTCAGGAGATGATATCAATGAACACATTGCCAATAGTAAAATTCCTGGTGATTGTCCCAAAGCTGTTAGTAAAAGCTATGATGTTTGTGAAGATGGCGTGCAGGTAAGAGATTTATATTTCACCTAGCAGCAAATTTCAGCACTATTTCCCTTTGTTTCAGTTTAGATACCCAACATCCTCTTCTAAGCATTCATGCCTTATTCTTGGAATTGTGCAACTACTTTTTCTCTAATGTCCTTATAGTCTATTTCTCAGCTTTAGTTTAGCTGTAGATGCTAAAATAAGTTTTTTCCTAAAACATTATGATATTTACTGTATATTAGTGTAACAATTCTGATTTTCTTTGCACAGAGTTTTAGTTTGTCTGTAAACTGACATGCTTCACCTCTCCATTAAGTCTGCTGATGGATATTGATGGGCTCTTATGCTGTGGAAATCCATGTCCTGTGTCCCTAAAAACTACTTTCTGTTCTCCCTTACTTTTGCCCCAGATAGCCAATCTGAATTGTCATACTTTGTATACTTTGCTTTCTTTTTGAAAGAGTAATATGTAATTATTTTGACTACAATACTTGAAAATAGCCCTCTCTGAATTTTCTGCACTTTTGTAGTTCTGTCACATTGAATTTGATAGGTTGCATCCGTCTGTCTGTCTGTCTATCTATCTATCTATCTATCTATCTATCTATCTATACACTATTTATTGAGAGAGCACATGTGCACACATGTGTGCACGTATGTGAGGGGGCGGGCAGAAGGAGAGGGAGAGAGAATCTTAAGCAGGCTCCACACC